CCCTCTCCACTACCCCACCACTCCATACCCCTACACCCCCCGCATCACACCCCTACCCTACATCCCCACTCTATACCACCACTACCCCACTCCATATCCCCACCATTCCATTCCGATACACACCCCACTCCTCACACCCACATCCCCCATAACAAACTAACATTGTTATATCGCAGGGTTGTTAGTGCTCCCCACCCCCAACCCCAACCCTCTCTCTTCTCTTTCTTTTCATAGCAATGTAATCAGTACACTGTCCTTCTCTGTAAAAGTCCTTCTTCACAACTTTGTGAGGAACCCAGGTCAGTTGTTAGGGCAACGCACATATCTGTCCATGCCAACCTCAACATAGCTGATATGGGCAAATATCCATTTAAAAATATAAAGATTATCAACATTGTGGCATTTAGAAGCCAGTACACGTATATTTCATTTTAGCTCCTCAAGTCATTTTTCACATTTTATTCCTTATCATTTCACAATTTGTTCCAGTGTCTTAAAGGGTAATGGTTCCCTATACCTGGTGTATTACTTTGTTGTAGTGTTGATTGATAGAAGTGGCTGAAGGGGAACCTGTATTCTAGGGAACATGGGAAAATCATACTTTTTTGAAATGTTTGTTTTAATAAAAAAAAAAAGATGTTAAAATAAAATGTGTATCCTTATATAGATCACGCATTATTTACATAATTTACAGATATCAAGTCGTGATCCTCCCCTGCTTACCAGTCATTGGCTTTTACTCCAGTACATACCTGTCTGTGAGGACAGAGTATCCTTCATCGTCAAATTAGTTACATCACTCATCACACCTGATAAAGAAATAAAAAAGGCTGGTGAAAAGAATAAATCAAGTTTAAGCAATGGAATATCTTAACGAGTACATGATTAATCATGTCACTACATTGTTGTGACGTGACTACATGGTTGTGACGTGACTACATGGTTGTGATGTGACTACATGGTTGTGGTGTGACTACATAGTTGTGATGTGACTACATGGTTGTGGTGTGACTACATGGTGGTTGTGGTGTGATACATATCTGTGATGTGACTACATAGTTATGATTTTACTACATGGTTGTGATGTGACTACATGGTTGTGAGGTGACTACATAGTTGTGATGTGACTGCATGATTGTGTTGTGACAACACGGTTGTGATGTGACTACATGGTTGTGATGTGACTACATGGCTGTGATGTGACTACATGGTTGTGGTGTGACTACATGGTTGTGATGTGACTACATGGTTGTGGGGTGACTACATGGTTGTGATTTGAATACATGTTTGTGATGTTACTACATAGTTGTGATGTGACTACATGGTTGTGGTGTGACTACATGGTTGTGATGTGACTACATGGTTGTGGTGTGACTACATGGTTGTGATTTGAATACATGTTTGTGATGTGACTACATAGTTGTGATGTGACTACATAGTTGTGTTGTGACCACACGGTTGTGTTGTGACCACACGGTTGTGGTGTGACTACATGGTTGTGATGTGACTACATGGTTGTGGTGTGACTACATGGTTATGATTTTACTACATGGTTGTGATGTGACTACATAGTTGTGATGTGACTGCATGATTGTGTTGTGACAACACGGTTGTGATGTGACTACATTGTTGTGATGTGACTACATGGTTGTGGTGTGACTTCATTGTTCTGATGTGAGTACATTGTTGTGATGTGACTGCATGGTTGCGGTGTGACTACATGGCTGTGATGTGAAAACACAGTTGTGATGTGACTTCATGGTTGTGATTTAACTACATGGTTGTGATGTGATTATATTGCTGTGATGTAACTTTATTGTTGTAATGTGACTACATGGTGGTTGTGTGACTACATGGTTGTGAAGTGACTAAATGGTTGTGATGTGACTACATGGCTGTGATGTGATTATATGGCTGTGATGTAACTTTATTGTTTTGATGTGACTACATGGTGGTTGTGTGACTACTTGGTTGTGATGTGACTACATCGTTGTGATGTGACTACATGGTTGTGGTGTGACTACATGGTTGTGATGTGACTACATGGTTATGATTTTACTACATGGTTGTGATGTGACTACATGGTTGTGATGTGACTACATAGTTGTGATGTGACTGCATGATTGTGTTGTGACAACACGGTTGTGATGTGACTACATGGTTGTGATGTGACTACATGGCTGTGATGTGACAACATGGTTGTGGTAAGGTTGTGATGTGACCATATGGTTGTGATGTGACCACAAAGTGGTGATGTGACTACATTGTTGGGATGTGACTACATAATTGTTGTGTGACTACATGGTTGTGGTGTGACTACATGGGTGTGTTGTGACTACATGGTTGCGATGTGACTATATGGCTGTGATGTGACTTTATTGTTGTGATGTGACTACATGGTGGTTATGTGACTACATGGTTGTGATGTGACTACATGGTTGTGATGTGAATACATGGTTGTGGTGTGACTACATGGTTGTGATGCGATCACATGGTTGTGATGTGACTACATGGTTGTGGTTATCCTGGATATCCAGGGGTTATGCTCACTTACGCTCTCTGCACCCCTGACATGTCATAGCAAAATTGAAGGTTCATTGTGCGCCATCCTTATTGATGTCTCCGAGACTAGAAGAGTAGTTCGATCCTTTGATGTGCATCAAAAGAACGGTAATAATTGACTGACTTTGAAGTCGGGTTTCGCCCTTTTGTAATCTTGAAAGGACATGTATCAGCCTAGCGATTAGTCAGGTTTTATTTACCCGAGACCAAACAAACAGCTATCTTCGTGCCTTCAATTTTCCAGGGGTGCAGAGAGCGTAAGTGCGCATAACCCTTGGATATCGAGGATGTTTTGTGATGTGACTACATATGGTTGTGGTGTAATCGATTACATGTCCAATTCATATAGAAACAGAAACATATGCTATCTCAAAACTAGAAACAATAAACTACAAAACAAAATCGCTTGCATAATTATTACGGAACAAAAGAAAACGGTATTTTTTAGGTTTTAGTGACTACACGTTCTATGAGAAATATGCTTGCAGTTCTACGGTTTCTTGTTAAATGCTGACAAAGGGAATCCGTTATTGACCCGATCGTGTGTATTTGACTCGATAATGTGTTGACTACCCCGACCATGTGGTATATGTATATATAGTTTACATTACGAAATGGATTACATATGCATGTTGTTTGTGACCTCAAATAAAACACTGAGAAAACCTATTGCATATTGGACAAATTGGCTGTCGGATAAAACATGTAACACATCCACAAACATGATATGCCTGTGTTAACCTAGAGGTACTCACCATTTAAAAGTTTCTCAGCCATGCTCTCTTGTGTGCTTCCGTAGCCTTGTCGTGTGTGTACTAGACTGTCGTCTACAGTCGTTCACCGGAACATGTGTTTTGTAATTCTATATCGGGCCCGATCAGGGGTAATTTATACTGTTCGTCCGTATTGCATCAGATACAGCCACATGTACGATGTAGTTTCTGATGTTATTCTGTTTAATATGACGTCATAAACAAGGACAATCCCCTCAACAGGTTTATTCTGGTTTATTGTCAAATATATGTTCTATGTCCTGTGAGGGAGACCCAGTTCCTGTTTATACAAGTCAGATCAAGTTCATCGTTTTACCTTACGAAACCTAACGTTATGTGACCGGGAGGCCTTTTTCGTCACAAGTGCTTTCGTAACCGTGACATAACCAGGACCTAAGGCTTACTTGATCACGATTCCGATGAACAGTTCAACATCACAAGGTCGGTCGACATTGCTTTGTTATTGACTTTTAATATAAAATATATGCTTTATAATCAGAACATTGTTGATGATGGTTACGATGAAGATGCTGATGTTGATTGTGCTTGAAACTTGCTTGATATAATAAAGCAACTTTTACGTTATAGACCTAAGTTACATGTATATGGGGATTTGGGAATAGACGACTAAAGAGTTTTAAAAGGGAGATAATTTTAATGAAACAAAAAAAAGAAGAAGTTTAAAGTCATATCATTGATAAATGTACACATAGATTATCTATTTCCAAACTCAGCGTTGTCGACGTCATACCAGCTAGAGTTCGGTTCGTTATTATTTTCTGCTTTATTATATACATTTATTCTGCATCGAACATATACAATTTATCTCTTCTTAAAAATATATATTAGGGTTAAAGGGTATTTTGACAGCCCAGCAGCTAGGATATGGGTATTTATTTATAATTGTTTATTTTCATAGATTTTACATAAACAATTTTGACATAAACATTACATATGCACATATTCCAAAGCATACAAAATAATAACACATTGTTTTCTTCTAAGCGATCAACATTATCATCATCATCATCATCATCATCATCATCATCATATCATCATCATCATCATTATCATCATCATTTTTTTTTTTTACATTCCTTTATTGCTATTAAAGAAAACAACAGATACTGACATACACAAAATCCACACAGACATAGACAGACAGAGAGATAGAGAGACAGACCCACAGACAGAAAGATAGTGATGTCAGGATATATATATGGGTATTACTAAAAGTAGAAACTAAACGAAAAGTAGATCAAAAAGTGTATTATGATCAAAAGGAAACAGAAATGTAACAAAATCAGCGAAAATATAGAAATGGGACGGAATGGAATTCATTTAATTTTGTTTCTTTTTCGTTTCTACTTGTATTAGTACCCAGCAGGATATTGTGGTTCATTGATCTATTAATCTGAGGGGCATTGAACCCTATAATAAAAGATGGAACGGGAATCTAGTCGAATTTCAAACTTTCAATGTAAGAATATTCGTACAATTGTACTTAGATATAACAAACCTTAACCCAGTGACCTTGAGAGGCTCCTTGCGATTATTATGTAGTATGGCAAGCCAAGTTGTCATTTATGCATGGAGCAATGTTGANTTACGAGCAAATTTTGTACTCGAGATTGATGGACCTCCTCTCTCTAGTGCATGTGCACTCCTCTTACATGTTTGTGATGTGACTACATAGATGTGATTTGACTACATGGTTGTGATGTGACTACATAGTTGTGATGTGACTACATGGTTTTGATTTGACTACATGGTTGTGATGTGACTACATGGTTGTGGTGTGACTACATGGTTGTGGTGTGACTACATGGTTGTGGTGTAACTACATAGTTATGATGTGACTACATGGTTGTGGTGTGACTACATGGTTGTGTTGTGACTACATTGTTGTGATGTGACTACATAGTTGTGATGTGACTACATGGATGTGGTGTGACCACATGGTTGTGATGTGACTACATGGTTGTGGGGTGACTACATGGTTGTGATTTGACTACATGTTTGTGATGTGACTTCATAGTTGTGATGTGACTACATGGTTGTGGTGTGACTACATGGTTGTGTAGTTGTGGTGTGACTACATGGTTGTGATATGACTACATGGTTGTGATGTGACTACATGGTTGTGATTTGACTACATGGTTGTGATGTGACTACATGGTTGTGTTGTGATGTGACTACATGGTTGTGGTGTGACTACATGGTTGTGGTGTGACTACATGGTTGTGTTGTGACTAAATAGTTGTGATGTGACTACATAGTTGTGATGTGACTACATGGTTGTGGTGTGACTACATGGTTGTGTTGTGACCACATGGTTGTGATGTGACTACATGGTTGTGATGTGACTACATGGTTGTGATGTGACTACATGGTTGTGGTGTGACTACATGGTTGTGGTGTGACTACATGGTTATGCTTTTACTACATGATTGTGTTGTAACAACACGGTTGTGATGTGACTACATGGTTGTGATGTGACTACATAGTTGTGATGTGACAACATGGTTGTGGTGTGACTTCATTGTTGTGATGTGACAACTTAGTTGTGATGTGACTACATGGTTGCGGTGTGACTACATGGATGCGGTGTGACTACATGGCTGTGATGTGAAAACACAGTTGTGATGTGACTTCATGGTTGTGATGTAACTACATGGTTGTGATGTGATTATATTGCTGTGATGTAATTTTATTGTTGTAATGTGACTACATGCTGGTTGTGTGACTACATGGTGGTTGTGTGACTACATGGTTGTGATGTGACTACATGGTTGTGATGTGACTACATGGGTGTGATGTGACTACATGGTTGTGATGTGAATACATAGTTGTGATGTGACTTCATGGTTGTGATGTGACTTCATGGTTGTGATGTGACTTCATAGTTGTGATGCGACCACATGGTTGTGATGTGACTACATGGTTGTGGTTATCCTGGATATTCAGGGGTTATGCTCACTTACGCTCTCTGCACCCCTGACATGTCATAGCAAAATTGAAGGTTCATTGTGCGCCATCCTTATTGATGTCTCCGAGACTAGAAGAGTAGTTCGATCCCTTGATGTGCATCAAAAGAACGGTAATAATTGACTGACTTTGAAGTCGGGTTTCGCCCTTTTGTAATCTTGAAAGGACATGTATCAGCCTAGCGATTAGTCAGGTTTTATTTACCCGAGACCAAACAAACAGCTATCTTCGTGCCTTCAATTTTCCAGGGGTGCAGAGAGCGTAAGTGCGCATAACCCTTGGATATCGAGGATGTTTTGGTGATGTGACTACATATGGTTGTGGTGTAATCGATTACATGTCCAATTCATATAGAAACAGAAACATATGCTATCTCAAAACTAGAAACAATAAACTACAAAACAAAATCGCTTGCATAATTATTACGGAACAAAAGAAAACGGTATTTTTTAGGTTTTAGTGACTACACGTTCTATGAGAAATATGCTTGCAGTTCTACGGTTTCTTGTTAAATGCTGACAAAGGGAATCCGTTATTGACCCGATCGTGTGTATTTGACTCGATAATGTGTTGACTACCCCGACCATGTGGTATATGTATATATAGTTTACATTACGAAATGGATTACATATGCATGTTGTTTGTGACCTCAAATAAAACACTGAGAAAACCTATTGCATATTGGACAAATTGGCTGTCGGATAAAACATGTAACACATCCACAAACATGATATGCCTGTGTTAACCTAGAGGTACTCACCATTTAAAAGTTTCTCAGCCATGCTCTCTTGTGTGCTTCCGTAGCCTTGTCGTGTGTGTACTAGACTGTCGTCTACAGTCGTTCACCGGAACATGTGTTTTGTAATTCTATATCGGGCCCGATCAGGGGTAATTTATACTGTTCGTCCGTATTGCATCAGATACAGCCACATGTACGATGTAGTTTCTGATGTTATTCTGTTTAATATGACGTCATAAACAAGGACAATCCCCTCAACAGGTTTATTCTGGTTTATTGTCAAATATATGTTCTATGTCCTGTGAGGGAGACCCAGTTCCTGTTTATACAAGTCAGATCAAGTTCATCGTTTTACCTTACGAAACCTAACGTTATGTGACCGGGAGGCCTTTTTCGTCACAAGTGCTTTCGTAACCGTGACATAACCAGGACCTAAGGCTTACTTGATCACGATTCCGATGAACAGTTCAACATCACAAGGTCGGTCGACATTGCTTTGTTATTGACTTTTAATATAAAATATATGCTTTATAATCAGAACATTGTTGATGATGGTTACGATGAAGATGCTGATGTTGATTGTGCTTGAAACTTGCTTGATATAATAAAGCAACTTTTACGTTATAGACCTAAGTTACATGTATATGGGGATTTGGGAATAGACGACTAAAGAGTTTTAAAAGGGAGATAATTTTAATGAAACAAAAAAAAGAAGAAGTTTAAAGTCATATCATTGATAAATGTACACATAGATTATCTATTTCCAAACTCAGCGTTGTCGACGTCATACCAGCTAGAGTTCGGTTCGTTATTATTTTCTGCTTTATTATATACATTTATTCTGCATCGAACATATACAATTTATCTCTTCTTAAAAATATATATTAGGGTTAAAGGGTATTTTGACAGCCCAGCAGCTAGGATATGGGTATTTATTTATAATTGTTTATTTTCATAGATTTTACATAAACAATTTTGACATAAACATTACATATGCACATATTCCAAAGCATACAAAATAATAACACATTGTTTTCTTCTAAGCGATCAACATTATCATCATCATCATCATCATCATCATCATCATCATATCATCATCATCATCATTATCATCATCATTTTTTTTTTTTACATTCCTTTATTGCTATTAAAGAAAACAACAGATACTGACATACACAAAATCCACACAGACATAGACAGACAGAGAGATAGAGAGACAGACCCACAGACAGAAAGATAGTGATGTCAGGATATATATATGGGTATTACTAAAAGTAGAAACTAAACGAAAAGTAGATCAAAANGGGTCAGTTGAGGTTAAACCATAGTTTATTTTAACGAGTTAAAATTGCTCTTCATTGCAGAAAAGCTAAATATCATTTACTGTATGTTCTCCCAAGATTCATTAGAACTTGTTTGAAATGAACTGACATGTGTGACTTGGAATGTAGTCCAAGGTCAGGAATGTAGGCCAAGGTCATTATCTGAAAGCAGCTGATATCCTGTTACTTCATAATCTACATACAAGTAAATATCACGGTAAATTAAGACTACCAGGGTCTGATATATTTGTATTCTTTGCTAGGATCAAAGATGCCGCCTTCTGGACTCAACGGAAGCCAAAACAAACACATAAAAGTCGGCATTCTAGAGGTTCAGGGTGCGTTTCAAGAACACAAAGTGGCACTAATGAGGGCGAATCAGTGTTTACAAACGACCATAAAGCTCGAAGTAATGGAAGTGCGTCATCCAGACCATCTATCCCCCGACATGGACGGGCTGATTATACCGGGAGGGGAGAGCACCACCATCAGTTTATTCCTGAAGAGGAACAACATGGAAGAACCACTCAGGAACTGGATACAAACAAAGGGCCACGTGGTGTGGGGGACATGTGCAGGAATGATTCTTTTGTCGAAGTGTACAGAAAATCAAAAGGACGGTGGTCAGCCAACAGTAAGTTGTTTCATTTCTAGCGGCAGTCAGTTTGATGAATGTACCCACTATCCTGCATATCGATAAGTATGCTACGCTATAAAGTATCGTTAAAATGAAGTATTTGATGGCAACAGCTTGTTTGTCACCATAGGCCATAGTGAGAGTGTTTAATTTATACCGATATCCCAGGTTATCGTCTGTTTTAATAGCTATTTGCTGTATGACATGTGGCCGTGAGTGTAACACTTGGAATGATAATTACAATATGCAGTACGTTCGAAACTATCCTGATGTGTAAGAGTTTTATTCCAGGTAAAAATGTCTTGGCATACGAACAAAATTTAAAACAGTGTTTTCGGTTCTGAACAAACTCCAGAATAAGCTGGGACTTAACAGATAGATGAGAAATAAGTGTTTTATGTCACCATAGATGAGAAATAAGTGTTTTATGTCACCATATGTATCATAAGCAATGCTACCTCAATGGTATGTGCCTATGTCTTATAATATTGCATGCTCATAGAAGAATTCGCCAATGCCAATAGAACTATTCTCGTTTCAGCTGGGAATGCTAGACACAGTCGTTTCCAGGAACTTTTTCGGACGACAAGTGCAGAGCTTTGAAGCCCAAGTGACAATCAAAGCACCACTGCTTATACCAAGTAACACCCAAACAGGCACATCTGATTCTAAATGTCATGGTGTGTTCATCCGGGCACCTGCCGTGCTGAAGACGACGAGTTCGGAAATACAGGTGCTTGCAGTGTTGGAGCGACCAGAACAGAAAGACAGCGTAATCGTTGCCGTACAACAAGGTGACGTAATCGCGACAGCTTTTCATCCGGAGCTAACGGACGACCTTCGTTGGCACTCGTATTTCCTAAAGATGATCGAAAAGGCGAAAGAGCAAGCCTAATAAAGAGATAGCTACTGTTGTGTGAGGTCGTTTCACAAGAGTCTACAATTATACGTTTTATTGTTTTAGATTAACACTCGGTTCTCATTATAGCGTAACTGAGGGGTGGTTCATTGAGTGTTGATATACCTCTACTTTATTTAATCTATATAAATAAAGTAATTAAATTAACATTATGTTCGTTTGCCCCGACCTCCCTGTCCAGGGAGTAAGTCCTATATCAGCTGTGTACATGTGTAAGCCGCGACTTCCCTGTCCAGGGAGTTAGTCCTATAGCAGATGTGTGTTAGCCCCGACTTCCCTTTCCAGGGAGTTAGTCCTATTTCAGCTGTGTGTTAGCCCCGACTTCCCTGTCCAGGGAGTTAGTCCTATATCAGCTGTGTACATGTGTAAGCCCCGACTTCCCTGTCCAGGGAGTTAGTCCTATATCAGCTGTGTGTTAGCCCCGCACTCCATTCGCAGTGCCTATAACTTGCTCCCGGAAATGACCGAACCAGTCCGATGAGTAGTTGGCGGAGCCTGTACAGTCCTTATCTTAGATTGTATGGCTCAAGCGCACACAATACTTAAAGTGGAGACATATTTTCAGTGCTTGCGGTTTGAAGATTTATTTTCTTTGCGTTTCGTGATAAAACCAGTCAAGATTTGGATTCGGGGATAACTCTTCTGCATGGTTGCCCTCAGTCTGGCAGAACACGGAAAGTTTGAGAATAAGAACGGTTTCATGAATACGGGGCCTAGGAAACAAACACTAATTGGAATTTGCTATATACATTTTAATGAAACAGAATAATAACATATAAAAAACGAATTTTTGAGGTTCTTCAATTTCTTTATTTCCAAATGCAACAGATAGCATATAGGAGTTACAATATACATGTACATACAAGTAAATATTACAATCCAATTATGTAAGATAGCGGAGAACATGACGGAGTAAAACACAAGATGACATCATAGCAATATTGTCAACATACAAAAGAAAATATATAATCATTGTCAGTTGCACAAAGCTGGAACATACACGATTGCTCAGATATTAAGTATAGACGTCCTTTTAGAAGTAGCCTGAATTAGATACTTACTAAGGTTTCTCAATTGTTTTACATTTTTGCAGGCGAAAAATTGTATTCATTTATAGACGGACGGACGACGGAAATAATAGGGTTTAATATATTTGGTTCTAAGCTCCGAGTAAACTGGACACAACAAAATAAAATGGTTTTCATCCTCGACGTTCTTTTAGAAGTAGCCTGAATTAGATACTAACTAAGGTTTCTCAATTGTTTTACATTTTTGCAGGCGAAAAATTGTATTAATTTATAGACGGACGGACGACGGAAATAATAGGGTTTAATATATTTGGTTCTAAGCTCCGAGTAAACTGGACACAACAAAATAAAATGGGTTTCATCCTCGATGTCATTTCTATTGCAAAGCGGACACCGCCGTTGAGCTCTATGTATACCATTATACCTGCCTGTTTCTATACTTAGTGTATGAGATTGTAACCTATACTTACTGAGGATATTTTTACACTTATAAGTTAGTGACTTGGACTGCATACCGTAATGATCTACGATATATTTATACAACCTACATTTGGAGGAGTTTTCAAACATTCCTCTCACTTCTTGGATAAAAGTATCTTGTACACGTTGGGTGTATACAAATACGAAATGTTTTTCATTAGAAACACACTGAGCCAACCAATCATCATGAAAGCCAATTCTACTTAATTCATGCTTGACTTGATATACAAAATTAGTTTTACAATTTGGTTTTTTAAGATTTAATTCGACAAGCTCATCGTAACAAGATCTCAAAATACAATTGTCAGTTTTCAATAATTTTAACCAGTACTTTATAATGGATATTTTACGCTTTATCTGTAAAGGAAATCGACATAACTCATAGAAAAACCATAGAATTATTAACAGGCTTTTTTACTCCAAGAACTTCTTTCAGGAAATTTGTGTTCTCGAATGAAAAGAGTACCTCCCTAGCGCTTTCACCTCTTTAGAGGTTCATCAGGGGAACTGTTTGTTTAAGTTGACACAACAACACAGCACAGAAAGTGATATAAACCGGCTTTAACTCTTTCATAACACTACCTGCACATCACGATAGATCCAACTTATACACCGTGTGATTAATTCTGTTTGAAGCAAGTCCACGTTGGTACGCTCTGTCTGAAAGATATTTATTTGGTTCTATACGTGTATTCGGGAGCTGAAATTCGTTTAGTGACAATTGCTGTTTCTTTGATAGATATGTCACCGTTCTGGACCAATCGGGAACCGTTGGCACTTTCCGTATTCGTTTACGTAAAGTGCCGACGCTTCCCGATTGTATTCTGGAATTAACGTGTCGAGACTTCAATACAGAAATCAAATTTTCCCAGGAAATCAACGACATCAACTGTTTAGAAGTCCGTTATCTATCTATAAAGTATGTATAGAGCAGCTTTGCCTGATACACTGCAAAGAAGTGACCATGTTATAAGTAAACGGTTGTACCTACCTATCTCATGCATCAGTACACATGTGGACATCGTGTATGGTTTAGTAAATGTGTTTATTATACCTTATTGTGTAGATATCATTTCACACGGTATTACAAATTAGATATGATAGACACGAAAATGTTTTAATTTCATATAAAAACGAACGATAATAATCTGTTTTAAGCCTGTGCTGGTGTTATTTTCTAATATGCAAATTACAGGAATATTGAACTCGTTCGATCTGGACCTAAAATAGATAAACATCTGGCAAGCTGTTGCACGTAAAATAATTGTTTGTGTGAAAGCAACATTGGTCATTCATAAATGCAAAATAAATACAGATATCGTATTTGAATTCATTTCTAATATTATTAAATTTAAGTATTTTCTATCTTTGGCAAAACAATAAAGGTCGATGCCTTCAGCTTGAGAATGATTTAAATTCTGTTTTCAATTCAATATTTTAGTCAGGAGGTAAATTTGTGCCGTAACCAGATCGCACCCAACACAAGTGAAGGAACAATCGGGAACCGTCGGTACTTTCCGTAAACGAGTATTTTCTCGTTTACGGAAAGTGCCGACGGTTCCTGATTGGGACTGAGACTGCTGGGAAGTTATCAAATTGGTTAGTAAAGCGTACATATCTCGTATATATATAATTATATAACATTTCAGAAGCAGACTTATATCGTGTAGTATGTGAGTAAGTGGATTTGTCAACATCTTTGTGATGTGTATCAGTAGAGGGATTCAATATATAGCTAGCTGTTATGCAGATGATCACTTAAGTCGCAACTAACTCAGAAATAAGGTACATACGTTACAGTGCTGAGAATGTATGACGGGTCTCGCGTGACTTCACCTGAATGATTACTAATTTAGGGCCTAGTTTTCATTAGAAAACTAAAAAAATATACGTATATTCTTGTCAATTACATTTTTATATACTATATTATAACTGATAATACAAGTTTGAATATGTCTGGTGGCTTAATGAAGTTAATTTCTAGTTAATACAAACAGCTTTTGTGTGTCTCTGGATTACTAGTTACGTAGTAATCTGGAGCGGGTAACCAGAATTCAATCCAAATATATCATACGCTTACCTTTCTTTGAATGAGTTTTAATTTTATATAATATTATTATACAACGAAAACAGATCCCCATCTGCCCAAATACATATGTTATTTATTTAACATTTAATAAACATAGATGTGCATATTCCCAATGTCGCCGTTTTTATTGAAAATTAACTTGCCTTAGTGAAACAGTGTCCAAAATAGCCATCAAAAGAGGTTATTCCTTGTTTTCGGGGGAAATAATAACGAAAATATGCAACATAATTTCAACTACAAAACTTCCTTATGTATCCGAAGGTTCGGTAGTCAGAAGACCAAATAGGCAGGGGGCCAAATTGTCAATTATCCGGATTTCCGTTAGTCCGAAGGCCCGATAGTCAGAAGGCCCAATAGACATGGGGTAAGTTGTCAATAGTCCGGATTTCCGTTAGTCCGAAGGCCCGATAGTCAGAAGGTTCAATAGAGAGGGGGACAATTTGTCAATGGTCCGGATTTCCGTTAGTCCGAAGGTCCAAAAGTCAAAAGGTTCAATAGAGAGCGGGGACGAGTTGTCAATGGTCCGGATTTCCGTTAGTCCGAAGGTCCAAAAGTCAAAAGGTTCAATAGAGAGCGGGGTAAGTTATCAATGGTCCTGATTTACGTAAGTCCGAAGGTCCGATAGCCAGAAGGTTCAATAGAAAGGGGGCCAAATTGTTAATGGTCCGGGTTTCCGTTAATCCGAGATTCGATAGACAGAGGGTTCAATAG